TAGAACAAGAGGGACAATAAATAAATAAATAAGAACAATTTTTTGTCTACAATGCATTTTCTATTTTTGAATCTTTAGTAAACGTTCTAGACAATAGACATAAAGAATAGGGTACTCTTTGCTTGAGATATATGCGTCAGTTACCATCATATTAAACCTATTAATAGTAAAGTACTGGCGGAAGCGCGGGACGCAAATCCCCTCCATTTCTTTACTATATTGACAATAATTTCTAGATTACCTCAATACCTTCGTCAAACTATCAATACCGAAGAGGCAATCTCAAAATTATTGTCACTATTTAGAAATATTGTCAATAGTCTTGATCGTGTACGGGCCGCTTAAAAGTTAATTAAACCGCAACTTCTGCGAAAAAATGTCATAGGACTTTTTATATTCTTCATTGAACTCTATCTTACTGTTTTTTGCGTATCTCCTAGAACAAGAGGGACAATAAATAAATAAATAAGAACAATTTTTTGTCTACAATGCATTTTCTATTTTTGAATCTTTAGTAAACGTTCTAGACAATAGACATAAAGAATAGGGTACTCTTTGCTTGAGATATATGCGTCAGTTACCATCATATTAAACTTTTAAAGGGTTGCAAAGAATAGTTATTTATATAACAAGAGCGCGAAGTTCAATTTCGCGCATTGAGACTGAAGGTATTTTGACGAGGCGAAGCCGAGTCAAAATATCAGTCAAATGCGCGAAATAACTTCGCGCTAGCGTTATATACAATATTTTTTCTACAACTGAACCGATTGTTAATTAAATTTGCTGTTTAAGTTCAACTTTGTCACGTGCGCGAAATACTTTTTTTCACTGTTGACGATTTCGCGCACGTTGTCAAGGGCAACCTTACTTATTAATTAACCGTTTAAAAATCTAGTACTTCGCGCTTCGAAATTCGTCAGACAATGACAGGTTTTTTGACAGTTGTAGAAAAATGTTTATATGCACCTTGTAGAAAAAGAACTTCTCTTTAATTTCAATTCTATACATCTTCTTGCTCAGACTAATACTTTTCGAGATAATCGCCTCAAAAAGGGCGCTGGGTGCATTTTTCTCTTCGCGCTGAAAACTGCTTATTTTCCAAGGTCATTTACAAGCGTTGGGTGGGAGATACGCAAAAAAAAGTAAGATACATTTTTATAGAGAATTTAATGTAGCATATAAAAAGTCCTATAATATTTTTTCGTAGAAGTCGCAAACCACGAGGTCACGATTTGGGGTGGTTTTTTGGGCAAAAGGGGATGAAGCTTCCACCGGAGTCCCTACTGAGGGTTCAAAACCAAAATTTCAAAACTTTATAAATTGTTTCTTCTAAAAAAGCTAATTGTTATACACTATAGCATCAAATTGTAATTTTGTAACACAAAGATGTATAGCAAAGGTGATAAGGTCGAAGAGTAGATTTTTGTGAGTGTGAGTGTATCGTAAGGAATAATGAAAAAAGGTGATTTAATTAGTACTGGGCGCTGCCGAAGTGTCATAAAATAGGATTGACCTCGAGTCGCCTTTGGAAGTTCAAGTTAAATGTGATTTCCCATCACGGTTCCATTTTCCCATGTAAACAAAAATTCCAAAGGCCTTTTTTGATCGCATAGCATAGTACGAGTACTAGTAGTATAAAGAACACTTTAGTCTGGTTTGTCCAGAACTCGTGGTGGGAATAATAATGTGGTGTATGAAGGTGACCGTCTAAGATAAAAGAATTACACGATATAATGTTTAAAAATCCATGATCTAAAAAAGGGAGAAAATTGCACAACTTTTGATTTTGTAGCTAAGGTTTGCATTTTTAGTATAATATCTCTGTAACTTTTGAAAATTAAAATATAAGAAAATATCATTTCAACCAAATTATGTTGTAATCCTTTCTAATGAGATTAGTGTATGTGTTTAGAGTTTAGACCGTTACTTTGCACTCATCTTAGTCCCTGTACTGCAGGTACGAATTTTTTAAAATAATAATAACAATAATGAATTTATTGTCTAACAGCAAAACACGCCAATTCTAAGACAATGTAGAAACATTACAATGAATGTGCATAGCTACAATAATAAATGCTAAGTGATAAAAAAAGCAAACATTATCAAAAGTAGCAATAATTATCAAGATGAATAAGTAATAATAGTAGATCCTAAAATAAAATTAAGTGAACATAAAAAACGCAGAAAATATAGAACAACGATGTATAGCAAAACAAATAGGCTATATTTATGACAAAGTAATAATTAGAAAACAGTAAACTAATTAAACGAAAATGGGTAAATTTAACATTGAAATTACTCTTAATTCGGGGGTTCCAGTATGGTTCCAGTGAGAGTGGAGATATATCGTTTAAACTTGCGCACGTTGTGTAAATTGGTGATCTAATGTTGGTGCGTGCTGTAGGAACGAAAAATGGAATGGGTGTCTGGAATTTTGTCTAGGAATGTTAAATGAAAGCTTCTGCAATCACTCTGAGCAATCTAGTTGATTGTGGATAAGTTGGTGTAGTAGTTTTAACCTTGGTTTTAACAAAGCACATAATCTTTGACTTTGACAGGAGTGTAAACTAAATGTGTTAAGTAGCAAAGCTTGACTAAACCCTATTAATCCAGTTAAATTGTATTTTTACCAGGAAAGTTGTGGGGTAGTTTTGATTTCTTTGATTCTATATGTTTTTTGGGGTGCTGAATCCGAATCTGAGGTTTGCTAACAAAATTTCATGACGCAACATTGAAAAAAATACAAAAGAAGTTGAAAAAGATATTTTTTGGCAGTGTTGTGCTTACCACTTGAAAACTATCAACTTTTCGAAAATAACTTTCCTATTCAAAATTAAAGTACACAAAATTTCCTACAGACCCCACTATTTAGTTTTTTCCTCGATAAACCGTTCGGGCTCAAGCGCCAGTTGAAAATTGGCGTATTTCGGCTATCTCCACAAAACATAGTTTTTTCGCACTAAAACCCTAAATTAATATTAAGCATTGTCAATAAGTGAATTCCTTGCATTTACCGACTATTATTTGAATTTTATATGTAAGGGTGGTTTTTTCTCATTTTTATAACGTTCAAGGTGTTTGTTTATTGTAGTCCAGAATTGTATGAAAAGTTAATTTCTAACGAACAACAGTATATCATATTATTATATTATTTATAATCTATAATACTTATCTGTGTTATTTAAAACTATTCCCACTCTCTTTCGAACCAGATAAAGAAATCACAAAACCCTACCTTAGCATGTTTGGATAATTATTGTTGAATTTGGGAAAGTGGCGCTGTGGTCATTATTAATTCAAAAAATTCAAATGGCAAAAGGAGTATATTGATTTCCTATTCAACGGCATTATTCCTCTTGCTCCGGTGTTCTGAAGAATCACGTACTCCTCGGAGTGGGGTAACTGCAGCTTAAATTTGTCTGCTAACAACTGAACCCGATTTATTTCTTATCTGTTTACATGTTAACCAGCCACAAAAAGCGAGTTCATGATTTTGGTCTCTCCGTCCGTCCATCTGTGTAACTTTGTGAGGGTGTGTATGTATGTGTATGGGAGGAGGGTCTCGAGACTGCAAACGCAGGTACACGGTGACGTAATGGACCATGGCTCATCTGTGAAGGAGTGGGAGAAATACCCCAATTTTCAACTGGCGCTTGAGCTCGAACGGTTGATCGAGGAAAAAACTAAATAGTGGGGTGCACAACACTGCCAAAAAAATATCTGTTTCAACTTCTTTTGTATTTTTTTCAATGTTGCGTCATGAAATTTTGTTGGCAAACCTCAGATTCGGATTCAGCTCCCCAAAAAACATATAAAATCAAAGAAATCAAAACTACCCCACAACTTTCCCGCTAGATGCCCGTTTGCGCATAAATGGCCTGTATTATATTGGGAGTTAGAGACCATACTGCTTGAACCACAAGAACTTCTTTGTACATCCTCAATCATTGTAATATGGTAGTCATAAACAGGATTCCATATCGTTGCGTCGTTTCAACTTAACTCCGCCACCACAGGTGTACATTTTCGTACAAAATTTTGTGCCACAATTTTATACTCATTTTGTACTAATGTGTACCGCAAGGAACAAAATATGTACCACTACTTCTTTCACCACTAGAAACAAACGTACAATTTAAAGTCACAAAAGGCCATATTGTGTACCGATCAACATATAGTTATACAAAAATTTTGGAAAATATAATAAATTGTCATTTTTGTTTCTTGAATCTGCTAAGGTAAAAACTAAGTTATAATTCTTCGCATAAATTTAAGCTGATTTATTTGATGGTATCGTGCCAGTTAAATTTATCTAAACTGTCATTGTTATATTATTGTTATACCGGGGTACTAGAAGAAGAATATTGTTTTGTAACTTATTGAACTTCAGGAGTACAAATAATGTTTTCACCGAGGCGAATTTTCAGAATTTTCAATATAGAACCGAACTTAAAGAGGGGTGGATGTTTCAAAGGAAATGTCGAAGTTTTAATCTTGTGGTAAAAAATTGAAACCGGTACTAAATTGGTTTGCCATTAAATCATTAGCCTCATTTATCACTTCACTAAAAATGCTTCTTTTGATCAGTGTTGAACTGCGTTCAAGGAATCAAAACCTGATAAACAATGCCTAAGCACGCCTATGCCCGGGAATTAAATAGAAAGGACACGCGCTACGAAGAAGGTGTATAAAATCACGATTTATATTGGACCAGTTGCTTTCTTGCTCGGAAAAAGACGCTTTTAGAAACAATCTAATAAGAGGTTTGGAAAATTGCTGTCAGCGTAGCAGTTTTCATAAAATATTTACCGTCCGTTATTGTTTTAACCCCATTTTTACGCCACACAACTCGCCGCGGGCTCGGCGCGCGAATGTATAATTTCGCACAATAAAAATAGGCGAAACACGTGGACATCTCAATTTTCTTCGATCGTATAATTTACACTTGCCCGTTATTTATAATTTGTGCGAGGAGAAAAATGTGTTTTTTTTTGTTACAGGAAGGTATTCCAGATCCGCCGAGCGTTAGTTCCATTAGCAGATTATTGCGAGGTGGTGGAAGACGTGATGAGCTCGACTGCAAAAAGGATTATACAATTGATGGGATACTCGGAGGTAAGTTTTGCGTGAATTTTAAAATGGTTAAAACGAGAATGAATCAATGAAATCGAGCTCGGGCGGCACAGTTTCAAAGAAAGGTTAATATGTTAATGACACAGATTCTTTACGAACACGTGTTCGTGGGACCTTTATTTTTTGTTGCCGCCACCAAAGCCCCTCTAGTCCATATGGGACACCGGCTTATTTATTTGAAGTTTTTATTTGACTAAAATGTGGGGTAGGAAGTTAACTAGATCGAATGTCAAGTTCGTGAGACATTTGCGGACTCTATAATAGGTTTCAAAGTAACCACTTTAGAAAGTGACAGCGTGCTTGCTACAGTTACTTCACCCTAAAAAGTTTTAGAATTCTTGACAAGTCTTATAATAGAAAATAAGACAAATGAATTAATTAATCAAGCCATTAGGGCCCCTGAACATACTAAACATACAATTGCGTTCTTCCAAGTAAAAATCTGGGAGAACCTTCCATTAAAATACTGTATTTCGATTTTTATCCCACGTGCTACACACCTTCTTTTTTTTGTTTATGGTTTGGCAAGCAACTAATTATTATGTTTTCATGTATTTAATTACATACATATTAGCATTTCCATGCAACGATAATCTCGTAATTGCCTCTGCTCGACTTTGAACACGAAAACCAATGCACATAGGATCACATTAAAATTAAGGTATCATTTTTGATTGTGACATTTTATTTCGTAAGGCTTCCTTTTGGTTTTCATACAAACTAATCAGATGTATCAAAAGCGAAAATTTGTTAACTACAAAACCTTACCTTAAGCTTAATTTCTTGAAGTAATTCGGAAGAGTATAACAAATTGTGTAAAATTTTGAAGACAACAATTGTGGAGGCAATGTACCGTCGGGTTTCTAACCTCGTTATATCTAAGCCGAAAGTACTATTTAAGTAATTAAGCTGTTCTGAGGTACAAGTATTGTAAAACTTAGGAATTCTTCTAGAGCTTCAGAATTTTAGGAGATATTGTCGTAAGCGTTTTAAAAAATACTCCTAGAAAGCTCCTTGAAATCGTTTCCTGGAACTTCTCTAAAATATTGCAAATGTAAACAGAAATCCTAATCGATGATTGGAAAATCAACTAGAAGATAGTTACTGCAAATCTCGTCAGAAACCTCTCAGTACACCTTGTCGAGAATACTCAAAGAACGTTCTAGAAGTGTTAAAAGTATTCCAAGACGTGTACTTACACATCTCGTTAAAAAAACCTTTTATGAATATTTTTAGATACTTAAGTACCTTAGACATTACGTTCTTTAGAAGCTTGCCATTTATCTCAAGTAGTAGAGTACTGAAGGGGTAAAATCTGCCCTTCAGGTGTAAAAACATTTATCTAATACTTTGTTCAGCAATTACACATGTACCGCTTCATAGCGAACATGAACGAAAAAATGTCTGGTGCTAACAAACGATATAGTATTGCGAAAAGCGAAGGCGGTGGCCACGATCTCTTCAAATCTAAAAGTTTTGTTCCGTCTTGCGAAAAGACGAGCACGTGACGGAAATGCGGGTTTCATATTCGTTTAAAAGGGTACGCGGGTCAAGTTTGTTTCGTTCATAAAATAGATCCCGTTTCAGAGGTTCTAACGGGCGAGTTTAAAGAGCGTAAGAAGTGGGAGAGCGAGAGATTTTTGTTTTGAATTCGCGAGTCGAAACGTTTTCAGTGCGTTCAACATTATATTTTAAGACGAATTTGCGAACGATCGTGTACAATGTTTTCGAATGAATTTCCCTATCGTTGAAAAATCGTGCTGATTTTCGTGTTTGATTTTAAGTGCACTGACGTTTTTATTTCGCTTATGTGTGAAGGTGTACGGTGGAATTTCCAGGACCGAAAAGTGCGATTATCGAGTGAAATGTATCCGAATAGCAGTAAAGAATTAATTAACAGTTTAATTTCGGGTTTAAAGTCGAATTCGTGACAAAAGTCAGCTCCCTGCAATTTTTAATTGTGCGCTAAAACGGCTGAGGGGGGATGGGGAGAGTTACGTTTACTTTCAAGTTTATAATTCGTTTCGTTACACCTTAGGACGATATTTCAATTAGACCGGTTGAAAGCAAGTTTCTAAGAGTGTAGTTAGTAAACTAGGCAAATATAATATCAACACTGTGGACCATTTGGTATTTGATTTCTGTGCATAAGTAATAACGATCTCAAGTATTACTTCTCAAATTTAAAGTCGGTTTGTTCGGATTCGCAATACGCAGGGGCATTTTTGTTTGGTCATCATGGAGTCAGCTGTACCATACAGAAGCAATTCTAAAGGGAGCACAATTTTCCAAGAGGAGAGAAGACCTATTATAACCTCAAAGGAATCTCATCCCCGCGAATTACTGTAATTTATTTTAAATTTTAGGATTTGTGGCCCACTGTTTTGAGGAATTTGCATATTAATTTTGTTTGAAGTAATTTTAATATTCCTAAAGAAATTGACCAATAAGACCAATTTGCATGAACGTATTTTGTATCTATTAATAATAATTCAGAGGCGTGTGTATATTTTGAACATGAGAATGTACCAGTAATTTATGTGGCAAAGTTGAATTATAGATGATAATCAACGTTAGCATGGACACGTGATCACGAAATGGATTTCTTTTTTATGAATCACATTCATAATTTACATTCAAACACGTGTAAAGAATAATTGAACTTGGTCGCCTTTGTTTTTATTAATATATTCATTTACCTGAGGTTTCGATTAGTTTCCAGAATTACAAAGAAGACATTCGCTGACCGCCTCAAGGGTTAAGATCTGCTCTTTAAAGTAGTACGTCTAATTTTGGACCGAGTCAAGTGAATGTCCATGCTGAGCTCGAATTATCACTTAAGTATTTTATTCAAAACTCGCAAAATAAAATTGGGGTGCGTTCTATTAATGCCTAGCGACCTCGGCTTTATAGCCTAGGCTGAGCAAAGGTCTGATGGGGTAAGTTAATTGGTTCACTGTTTTTGGAAGTTTAATAACAGATCTCTATTAATGCCGGGCCGATCCCGGGGAATTTCGGCATAGTTGACTTACCCCATCAAACCTTTACTCTGCCTAGGTTTGTGCCGAACTGTCACTTTTTTACGTGGAAATTTAATTACAGGTCAATTTTTATGGAGTTTTAATAACTGGCCTGTATTAATGGCTAGCGATCCAAGGGTAATTTGGGCACAAGTTGATCTACCCCATCAGACCTTTACTCTGCCTGGGTTTAAAGCTATTACTTATACGTGGAAATTTAATCACATGGTATATTTTTGTAAACGTGTTTAGCAAAATTCGTAAAAAGTTTCTTGAAATCGTTTACAAGAAACTTCCCTTAGTTTATCTAATACCCGCACAAAGAATGTTTCATATTATAATTCTTTTTAGAAAGGCACAATTGGTCTCTAGCATTAACTAAAAGATTGGCATTCCATTATCCACAGTACAAGGGGATCAAAACCCCCGTTTGAATTAAAGAAATTCAGCTACAGCCACAACGTTAATGCTAATTTCTTTCTTTCTTTAAACATGAAGATTACGGTTTATCTCTTGTACTACAAAAAATGGCATTCCGTGAACTCTACCCCTAAAGTCTAAGAACATTATATAATACCTACCCAAAACGGGTTTCAAACTATAATTCTTTTTTAATAAATAGGGTTGATCTCTAGTACTATCAGAAACATTCACATTCCCTAAGAGGCCGTACAAAGGGGTACAAGCTTCAAAAAAACAATTTACAACATAAAATTAATAAACATTCTTAAATATTTTACGGTTATTTCTTTTCCTATCCAGAATTGTTTCTTCAAATGTTTTTAGATATTTACTAAAGATCATCTTGAAGTCTTTCTAAAACCCTTAAAAAACAACTGAAGAATTTTACAAATGTTTTATTTTTCCAAAACTTCGTGGACATGCTAAGCGTTTCAAGAATCTTTTAGAAATATTTTTAGAAATCAACCTAGAACGTCTCCTTTGTGGATGTATGAACTCCATCAAAGTTTCCCTCAAGATTTTATACTATTTTCTTTTACTCCTTTTCTTGCTCTGAATTTTTTTAGATATACTTTTGGTTTCTTCGATCGGTTAAAAAAGATAAATGCTAAGATAGTCCCTGATACGTTTAACTTTCTAAATTTCTTATAGATTTTGATGTTAACAGTTCAAAACAGATTGCATTTTCTGTACTGGATGATGCTTCAGTACTTTTTGATAGTGGAGAGGTTTGCAATTCAAAATCTGTAGGTAAAACAATGTAGGCTTAACGGAAATTGAGTAGGTATATGGCTATTATTAAACTCCGAGGATGCCCGCTCTAAGAAACGATACGGGAAATGCTAGGTTGAAGCCTAAGTTTTTGATGGTTGTTTCTGCAATATCATGGGGTATTGCTGGGCTAATATTGGAAATGACAATTCTTTTAGTGGGGGGCTACTAGTGGATATTATGTTCCAAGTGTCTTACAGGAATAACGCAATTTTATAAGATAGTCTACAAGTGCTTTATTTGAATATATGAAGTCTGTTACTTGAATGTGTCCGTTAGACCGCGGTTGAATGTTTTAAACCGAGGCGTAGCCGATACATTTTACGTTTTGCAATTTTGCAAATGGAACAGAAGACGTTGTGAATTACATGATAATTCAATTTTAGAACATCAAAAGGTTGCATTGGAGTAGCGTACCTATTCTTAACCACCCATGCACGTAACATTTTTAGATTGAAACTTGGTACATTTGCTCGTTCTGAGAGGCGTCGAGACGCCGAGATTCATTTTCCCCGCGCATATATTTAACGCTGATGAGACTTTTAATGTTCACATTACGCCTTCTGGTAATTTCGCGCAGTAGCTCATCATAATAAAAACAATTTCTAAACGTTTACCCGGTAATTTATTTGTTTCCTTAACTGTGATTGCTTTTAAATGGTGCTCTAGTGTTACATATCAAGCAAGATGAATGGTTTAATAAACTTTTTTTCGCATTTTGCGTCATAA